GAGAGAGAGAGAGAGAAAAAGAAAGAGAGCGTGCGCGTGCACGTGCGCGTGTGTGACCTTCAACGACTTGCAACTATTCGTGTGACAATTTGTGGGCCCCTGTCGTTGATGTTCTCATATCTATTCACGAAACCTCAGCACAGCTAATGTACCATGTTTAAATCGGCCATTAATAAGGACCGTGTGATCCTTTTACATTGCAGACTGATTGATAGATTGCAGATCGAGTGATCAAAAGCTACCATGGATTTTGTGGCCAAACAGATGGTTGGGAAACAGCTAGGCGCAGTAAAAGGTAAGATGATGTTGGTGCATAATATTATATAATTCATTATTAATATCATATTAATAATTATATGTACTTTCCCGCGTAAGTGAAATTTATAGTAGGTGTACTGCAGTAGCTACTATAGCAGCTGGTACCTTGTAGGCTAAACCCTAATTGCCTCGGCTGGCAATCAACCAAGCTGCTAAGTAACTTTCTGGTCCACGTGGCATCATCTAAGCTTGCCTCGCTTTAGTTTCTCGCAAGTGTGCCTTTCAGTCGATGCAATTTTCTCAATTGCTGCCCGTTTGATATCTCGTTTCCGCTTGCAACTTTCCGCCTGATAGTAATCGCGGCATCTCTCAGCGTGCTTCACTCGTGCGACCACTTTTCCATTTCCTCTGGCCCTGAGCGAATAGTAGCAGATGCTGCGTGGAAAGATGTCGCGTTGTTAGCAGTGAAACGCAGCCGAACGTGTCCTCGTTAGAGCGCCTGTGGAAGCTAATGCGACAATCACAGGGCTTGTTACTGATTTGGCTTGCATAGGTCTAGGTAAAAAGAAGAAAAACGAAGAAGAATGTGTAAGTGAAGGTAACAAACACATTGGTTGAACGGTGATGGTGGGCTTGCATCGTGTTATGTGATGGTAAAAAGGGCTGGTTCCAGGACAGTGTATGAAGCTGAAATATTTCTCTTTGAATGATGCATGCAGTTATAAGAAAGTGTAATTGGCTTTGTTAGGAACAAGGTGATTTAACATTTACCTAGCTCTCCAAAATATTTTAACAAATAATGTTCAAATATATATATAGTTTTTATACTGCTATTGTGTAGTTAAATGTTAGTATGTATAGAGGGAAGCAAATGAGCTGCATGATTTTAAAAAAATCTGTTCAAATTTACGGGGAGACAGAATCGTGACATTTCTCGAGTTTTTCCTCAGCTAACGACAATATTTTCCTCACACATGTTTGAGCGTGGACGTTCTGAGAGCTGCATGTACAAACGCAGTATGCACATGGGGGCTTTGCATCTATAGTTCACTAACTTCACTTGTAGAAATTTCGCATGGGTGGGCAGGCGCGCAGCGAGAACTATAGCGGCAAGTAAAAAGCCGAGGTATTGTGCTTGCAACTCGCTTGCGTTTTTGTGTGAAACGAATCGACCACGAAGTGGAGATGGGGGAATTTCGTTAAAAAAATGCAGCCTTCGCAGTGTTAAATATATGAGCTGAAATATATTAACGCCAGGATTTCGAAATCATTGCTTAAAAACGCAAAGTCTGGGAAAATAACGAAATGTGAATATATATCACTTAATAGCACATATGTTACTGATTACACCAACTTGAAAAACATTACGAATTTATGCTGTTATAGCATAGAAATTTGGAATTGAACATGCCGTAACACCGTGGCCTCTTCGATTATAGCGACAATTAGTTTGCACCTTGATTATAGCGACAATTAATGGCGCCTTCAAAACAAGTGCAGATATAACGCATCTAATTCAAACAAAGGGGCATCTGATTCTGTGTGTGTGTGTATGTGTAGTTTACTCCGTTTCTATTTTTAAATTGGCTGATATCTCGCGCTATCGTGAGACAGTCCGAGATTCGCAAGAAATAGCTGTGGAAATCAAAACGAGTAATCAGAATTCGAATCGTGCATGTTTTGGTGAATATAGCTAAGTACGAAGGTTCTAAATCTAAGATGTGTTAGCGTTACTCGAGCAATAACGGTAACTATCGTAAAAGTGGGGAAAACACAAGACTGTTTGGAAATTATTTTCGAAAGAATGGCTTTAACATAGTAGTTTTGTGTCTGGTAATGAATGACCACCTGTAGCTACGTAATGACATATGAACTACACTTGTACGAGTATCGTGTAGTTGTCTTCCACAAGTGTATGTTTTAGGGGTGACTTTTGCCTCAGTGTACCGTAATCAGCTGCAATATAAGTCTCTGTGGTCGTGTCGCACAGGCGCCGTGGGCGGCGGCGGGGGCGAAGAACAGGATCCGGAAGAGAAGAAGAAACAAGAAGATGAGGAAGCCGCCATTGCGGAGGCGCGGCGGGAAGCCGAAGAGAGGAGGAAAGAGAAACACAGAAAGATGGAGGCAGAACGCGAGGAGATGAGACAGGGCATAAGAGACAAGGTCAGTTTCCTTTAGCGCATATATATTCCTATAAGTCACATTGAGGTCTCCATCCATGTAATCGAACTTGCATTCACAATTCTTGCAGACAAGAGTTTTGACATTATTTTAGTGGATACTTTGATAATAACATAATTTTCTATTTATAATAATCTACTAAACGTCTAATTTACTGTGTGCTCACGTTCATCATGTGTTTGTCAGTTCGTGTAATATAAAGAACTACGTAAAATGTATATTTTGCTTAACCCTTTCGTTTTATTGACCGATTTAAGTAAAACTGTGACATCACAGTTTTGCACAGTAACATCGCTCTAATAGTGATGGGGCTCTTGTGTGCATGTGCAACAGGGTAAAACTAAAAGAAAAAGATCTGTGCTCGT